CATGGAGAGACAGAGGAACTGTGGGCTCTAGGTCCATGGACTGGGTAAGGCTTTGCACCTGCAGGCAGGAGTCTAGCTTGCAGAATATGTTCTGAGGACATTTAAATGAATATATATTTTTTGTTTTGATGTGTAAATCATATTTTTTGCTTTGTTCATTTCTGAAATATAAGATATAAAAGAGATGCTATATGGAGGAAGCAGGATAACTGTTGTTGCAGGGAGGGGATTGTAATCACTGAGATGAAACAGAGAGTACGATTTGTTGAATGCAAACCTAATGTTTTTGTCTGTTAACCTTCACTCAATTCACAATAAAAAGTTTAGAAAAATAAAATTAAGAATAAGTAAAAAGGCATTGGTAATGAATAAATCTTTGGTCTTGCAAAATTCTATCATATGATCTCCAGCATAATTTGTATCACCAAGACCATATTTTCCAGCTACCTATCCTTCCTCTTTGGACTCCTGGTATGGTGCTGTAAGATCAGCACTGGACTTCAAACCACAATGTCAGCAGTTTAAACCCACCAGATGCTCCTCGGAAACTCTTTACAGGGTTCCTACAAGTCACAACTGACTTGACAGCATTTAATAACAATGCCTTTCCTCTTTGTTTCCAACCTTCACACTTCAATCAGCAGTAACTATCAATGTATCTTGATTACATATGTGATCAATTTCAGACTGAAGAAATTGATAGAATTCTTCAATTTCATCATCACTGGCTTTATTGGTTGGTGGGGAAATTTGAATAACAATGTTGTTAACTGGTCTTCCTTGTTGTTGTTAAGTGCCATCAAGTCAGTTCTGACCCATAGTGACCCTGAATAGGGTTTCCAAGGAGCAGCTGGTGAGCTTGAACCGCCAACCTTGATGTTCAAACGGCTTTGCAGTCTGGTGCATTAGCCCACAGCACCACACCAGATCTTCCTCATAGGAATATGGATATTATCCTACCACAGAAAACATTGTACTTCAAGTTAGATCTGAAACTGGCCTTTTTGCTGTTGAATATGGTACTTTAATTTGTCATTTTTCACATAATAAGCCATAGGATTTTCAGATTCCAAATGGCCAATACCAGTCTATTTCCGGTTACTTGTGTCTAGGATATCAATCTTTATGTGGTCCATTTCATTTTTGACAAGTTCCAATACTCCTAGATTTATTTTTCATACATTCCATGTTCAGGTTATTAATGGATGTTTGCAGATGTTTCTCCTCATTTTAAGTTGTGCCCCATCAACAAATGAAAATCCTGAAAGCTTTGATCCACTGACATCATTTTGATCAATGACTTTGAGGAGGCAGCTCTTTCTTAATCATATTTTGAGTGTCTTCCAGCCAGAGCGGCTTATCTTCTGGTACTAATATCTGTCAGTGTTCCTCTGCTATTCATAAGGTTTTCAGTGGCTAAATATTCAGAAGTAGTCTGTCTCTCCTTCGTACTCTGGAAGCTCTGCTGTTCTCTCCTTAAATCAATGAATCACTATTTTCTAGATACATGGTTCAGGTGCATTGTACACACTCAAAAATATACTTTGAATAAATGTCTGAAAGTGGTCTCCAAAATTATTTAATGTTTTTAAAAACTGATCCACAGAGCTATTCTTAGGGATGCTAAAGTAATTTTTGTTTTCATTTTAATGAGATTTTCTCATCATTAATATAAACATATTCTGTTTTATCTGAGTGACTACTTTATGGCCAATATTTGTTGATTAAATGAATAAATAAATGAAATTATTGATACATTTCTTCAGAGCCTATGTTTATGATTGAGTTGACACCTAGAGATCTTCAAGTGCCAGTATTTTACTTTTAATCTGTTATTTCTGAAATTTAGGATCTGAGGATAAATTGTTAAGAATGCCTATGAAATCTCAGATTTGAGAATGGAGGTGGTGGTTATGTGCCATAGAGTCGGTTCTGACTCATAGCAACCCTGTACAGAGTTTCCAAGGCTGTAAATGTTTACGGGAGCAGAAAGCCTCATCTTTCTCCCACGGAGCAGCTGGTAGTTTCGAACTGCTGATCTTGCAGTTTGCGGCCTGATTCATAACCACTACGCGACCAGAGATTTGAGAATACTTACCTATAATACCGACTCAATGGCACTTAACAACAACAGCAACCTGTAATACTCTATGTCCATTTTACAGTTGTGGAGACTCAATCTTATAGAAGCAAAGTGATCCTCCCACAATTATATATTTTGTTGTTGTTGCTATAAGTGCCTTTGAGTAGATTTAGACTCATAGTGACCCTGTATAGGGTTTGCAAGGAGTGGCTGATGGGTTTGAAATGCCAATCTTGTGGTTAACAGTTGAGTGTGTATCCTACAACACCACACCAGAGCACCAATTATATACAGTGTGTGTATTTTTCTGTCCTCTCTGTAAATCCTTATTACCATCATGATTGGCATGAGGAAACACTGACTTCCTTTGGGTCTAGGTGGCAGAATACTTCATTTCCTGATGGCAGGTCAGAACCTAATTCTTCGCACCCCTGGTGATGCCAGCCTCTTGGTTCTCCAATCTGTCTCCCTTTGTAGCCACTACCTTTCCTCCTTTTGACCCTGGAGCCTGTCCAGACCTTTTATCTGCTATATTCTTAAAGATAAGAGCCTCTTACACCAAGCTTGTGTAAAAGTGATTAACTATACAGAATTTGGCCATGGCTCATGCCTTTATCATTTGGGTTTTTGAAGCTTTATTCCTGATAGTTGTAGAGTTCAGAAAAATGCAACACTGGTTTTATATTTAATACCTTCCTATAGTGTGGAACTGTGGGTTAATGCACTGGACTGCGAAGTTGGTTTGAACTGCAAAGTCAGCAGTTCAAGCTCATCAGCTGCTCTCTGGAAACCCTATACAGGGTCACTATGGATTGGAATGGACTCAAGACCACTTAACAGCAACAACTATAGTTTTACCCTATGAAAGTCAAGGCTGGCTTCAATAGCGAGAATAAGGCTCCGGGTGACCATGAAATTGTTATGACTTTCCCCACACTCAAAGAATCATCAAATGCTAACATTAACTCCCTTCTTGGCTTTTCTCAGGTAATGTTCATGCTTGTTTCATTGACACCATGTTCTCTTGAATTCAAGTGCCTCTAGATGGCATTTTCACATTATATCAAACAGTCATTGAGCTCAAGTTGTTGCTATTTAACTGATTAATTATGTGCTTTCTGAATATTATTTGGTGTTTTCTATTCTGAACCTTAAATCTAAGGCAGGATCTCAGACCTGACATATATCATAGCACAAGTGTGGGATAAGGCCTACACTCTATTTTGGGGTGGAGCAGAATCAACACAAGCCAGTATGTTGGGAAAAGGTCTCTTATTCTATTCCTCCCACCAAAGACAAAGCCTACTCACCATTTTCCCTGTGGCATCTGATGGAAATCTGGCCCTTATTGAAAACTGCCGAATTGGTTGGAGTCGGGAACAGGTAGACTAGTGTGGGTTGAAGGAAAAACAATCAGTTGTGGATTGAGCTCTATAATGTTGAGCTATGTGGGTAGCAATTCTTTGATTGCAATATGTTCACATCCTTAGCTGTGGGTTCTAGTACCCTATTTTATGGGAGCCAATACTCTTGTTCTATTCAGGTCTTGGGGACTTCAACTTCAGAAGTCCTACCATCAAAGGTTGATTTAGGCACCCAATTGAACCTGCCTTCAAGATCAAATCCAGTTCTTAATCTATGAAGCCCTTTCTAAAGCATATTGACCTCTCTATTCTTATAAACTGTTGTGGTTAAATACCATCAAGTCAGTTCCAACTCATATTGACCCTGTAGAGGGTTTCCAAGGAGCAGCTGGTGAATTTGAACCACTGAAGTTGTGGTTCAAATTGATCTTGCAGTTTAGTGCTTATCCTACAGCGTCACACCGGGACTCCTTCTTATAACCTCTTGTTGTTGTTAAGTGCCATCGAGTCGGTTAGGACCCAAAGCGACCCTGTACAGGGTTTCCGAGGCTGTAAATCTCTATGGGAGCAGAAAGCTGGTAGTTTCGAACTGCTGACCTTAAGGTTCGCAGCCCGATTCATAACCACTATGCTATAGAGCTCCTTCTTATAACCTACACAGTACTTAATTTGGGTGCTTAATTGTTTTTACCTCATATTTGGCAAGCATTCCATTCAGTTTTGAGCTGTTGACTCACTTTGACTGAAGATGGACTGTATTTACTTGTCTATGTTTTAAGCTTAATGAAGGCAGAAGTTGTATAATAGTCCCACTATCCTGGTATGGTGCTATAGGATAAGCACTGGACCACAAGGTCAGTTTGAATTGCAAGGTTGGCAGTTCAAACCCACCAGTCACTCCTCGGAAACCCTATGCAGAGTCATTATGAATTGGAATCAACTCAGCGACACTTAACAACACCAACAACAACACCCCTAGCAGATTGTAAATGATTGATTATATTAATTCATGCTTAAAGCACATTGTGAATAAACTATGAACTGCCAGGCACTAGGCTAAGTAGATATACAATTCAATCAATTAGAAGATCAGGGTCTAGAAAGACCCAATAAAATACATCATTAGGATATCATCCCATCAGTTAGTCCATGCCTTAGTGCAGGGGCAGATTAGTAAGGAAAAGATCCCAAACTTGAGATGAGCAGGCTGGACAAGTCAGTCTGGGAACCTACCAGCAGTGCAGGGTACAATTGCCACATATAAAAGCTTCAAGCTACTGGGTAATCTGAACTACTGGTCATTTATGGAGAATGAAGGCCTTACCTTGATACAAAACAAAACAAGCCAAAAACTATCCTATCATCTTTCTAAGAAAGGTGAGTTTTAGGGGAATTTGTTACTCTTGAGACTGGATTTCCTGTCTCCTATGTACAACCAATACCAGTAGTTTATAGCGAGGGCCTCAGATTGTGTCTCCAATGTGCAATGTACAGGTTCAAGCACGCACTGCTAGAGGCTATGGGAGTGAGCGATATGCCCTCCCTGTGCTTACTTGTTGAGGGAAGCCAGGCCTGACACTGATGCATTGGCTGTTCTGTCGAGTAAGGATCCGTTTTCGCCTCCTCTGTCTTAACACCACATAGATCCTAGCATACACAAGGACAGTCACTCCAAAGGGCAGGTAGAAGGACACCACTGAAGAGTAGATGACAAAATCAGGGTTGGAGATAGAGCAGATGCTGGGGTCTCCTGTGGGGGACAGAAAGACAGATGATAAAGCCATTTGCAGATGCTGGGGAAGTAGGAGGGAACTTCAAAATGTTCACATAAAAGTTCTACTATCTTTTAATCTCATTTTTCTACAATTTTTTAAAGCCCCCTCATATTAGACTTCATTCTTGTAGTTGTTAAGTGCCATCAAGTCAGTTCTGACTCACAGCAACCAGGTGCAGGGTTTCCGAGGAGTGGGCAGTAGGTTTGAAGCTCCAACCTTGTATTAGCAGTCCAGTGCTTATCCTACAGTGCCACACAAGTACTCCAGACTTCAGTTGATATTGTTGTTAAGTGCTGTCCAATCAGTTCCAACTCATAGCCACCCTGTGTAGGATTTCCAAAGAGCAGCTGGTAAGTTTGAACTACTGACTTTATGGTTCAGTGTTTCATCCTACAGCACCACACTAGGACTTCAGTAGGGAACACAAAATAAGGCTCCAAACATTATGTGGTATCTTTACCTTCTTATCCACATGGGGCTTTGAGAAGTAGGGGTTGCCCTTCCCACCAACACCCTCATCATATCTCAACTGAAATACTGCGTCATCCATGGAGACATCCTTGAGTTTCTCAATCAGAAGCTGCTCTTTCTGTCTCTGTCCCCTTTACTTTTGCCTCTTTTGTGTAGTTATCATACATGACCTGTGTGGTACAGATGAGGGTAAGACAACTCAGACACTTAAACACTATCATCACCTTGAGGATCATTGTCATCCTCATTAGGTGCTGTGGAGTTGGTTCCTACTCATAGCGACCTTGTACAGGGTTTCCAAGGCTGTAAATTTTCATGGGAGCAGAAAGCCTCATCTTTCTCCTGTGGAACAACTGGTAGTTTTGAACTGTTGGTCTTGAGGTTAGCAGCCCAACTCATAACCATTATGCTACCAGAGCTCCTTTCCTTAAGGATAGGAGGTCTAATTCATTTTTGTATTATTGCACTAAGGACTTTACATACGACATTTTAGATAGTCATTGTGACAACATTCTGTGAGGCAGGTGCCATTTCTATCTCTATTTTCAAAAAGCAAACTAAGGCTCAGAGAGGTTCAGTAAGTGGTCCAAAGTAACACAGCCTGAAAACAGGAGAAGTAGGATGTGTTCATTCCTCCAGCCAATCTGACCTCAAAATCAATGTTCTTCTGTGATTTTGAATCTCCACTTCCCTCTACCACTGGGGCACAGTGCATTTGCACTTTGTCTAGCATTGTCAGCATTAGCTCTTGATGAGATTTGGCAGCAGACACATGGGCCCTTCATTCTGTCACTTAATCTTCTGAAGTATATTAAAGGCCAGAAAGACCTAGGTGTGTGGAGTGGGTTGTGTGGTAGCTTTCCAAAAGTTATGTCTACCTGAAACTTGTTAATGTGGCCTTATTTGGAAAAAGGTCCTTCACAGATTTAATTAAGTATTTCAAAATGAGGTCATACTAAATCCAGTGATAATGTCCTTATAAGAGAAGGTCAGAGGGAGATATGTGTCTCCGATGCAGAAAAGAAAAATGTAAAGACAGGCAGAGCTTCAGAGTTATATAACCCCAAACCAAAGAAAAACTGAAGCTACCAGAAGCTTGACGAGGCAAGGGAGGATTCTCCCCCTAAAGGTATGGCCTGTTAACATCTTAATTTCTAACTTCTAGCCTCTGTCAAGGAGCTGTGGTAGCATGTGTTTATGAATCGGGCTGCGGAACCGCAAGGTCAGCAGTTCAAACTACCAGCTGTTCTGTGGGAGAAAGATGAGGCTTTCTGCTCCCGTAAAGATTTACAGCTTTGGAAATCCTGTACAGGGTTGCTATGAGTTGGAAAGGACTCACAGCACATAACCACCACCAGCCTCCACCAACTCAGAACTGACTCGATGGTACACAACAAGAAGTGCTGCTGTAACAGAATACCACAAATATTGTGACTTAAAATAACAAATTTTTACTTTTTCACAACTTTGGAGACTTGTTATTGTTCTGTGCCATCAAATTCAAGGAGGGGTTGATGGATTTGAACTGCAGATCTTGTGATTAGCACACCTGTACTTATCAGAGTGCCACACGAAAACTCCCAGAACTCCTACAGCAGACCTAAGAATCTAGTATGTTGTTGTTATTAAGTGCCATCAAGTTAGTTCCAACTCATAGTGGCCTTGTATAAGGTTGTAACTGCCAACTTTATAGTTCAAACTGACCTTGCAGTCCAATGCTTATACTACAGCACCACACCAGGACTCATAATATAGTTTCAGCAAAATAATGATTCACCACACATCTGTCAGTTTGTCATACTGTGGTGGCTTGTGAGTTGCTGTGATTCTGGAAGCTATGCCACCGGTATTTTAAATACCAGCAGGGTAAACCATGGTGGACAGGTTTCAGATGAGCTTCCAGATAAAGACAGACCAGGAAGAAGGAATGATGAACTATTTCTGAATATTTAGTCACTGAAAACCTTATGAATAGCAGAAAAACACTGTCAGATATAGTGCCA